TCAAACTTACCTACCCCACCTTTAAGTGTTTTAGTTGCTTTGAATTAAATCAAAATGTTTGCATTGAAGGATTTGATTTAACTTTTAAATTGGTTTCTGATCATGTGTGTGTGTGTGTGTGTGTGTGTGTGTGTGTGTGTGTGTGTGTGTGTGTGTGTGTGTGTGTGTTTGTGTGTGCGCGTGCGTGCGTGCGTGCGTGCGTGCACCTGGACGAGAGGTTAAAGTTCCTCTCCTTCACACACACTCCCGCTGTAATGCCCACACGCTGCATGATCTCACACACACACACACACACACACACACACACACACACACACACACACACACACACACACACACACACACACACACACACACACACACACATATTGCCGTTTCTTGTTAGGACCTCCATTGATTCTCTAACGTTGACCTCCACCTTCACCAATAAAACCTGATCCAGTGTGAAACTCAGGGATAAATATACAGCATGGAGCCCGTATACTGTCCTATACTGCGCTATAGGAGGGAGCGTCAGAACATTTCTTGGCAACAACAGCTGAGGCCACACAGAGAGGGAGGAAAAGCTGCGTTTGTGTGTGTGTGGACGGACCTTCTAACAGGTATCGTAGCTATCAGGTTCAATTGAAGGCGCTCATTTCGTGGCTCACATGTTCCTTTGATTAGAAGGTATGTCAAGTGGTTTCAGAGGGAACACGTAGCCAGTACCAACAATAGATGAGGTTATGTATCGCCAACTCTTCAATTCAAGCAATATGTGGCCTTGTGTTGAAGATGGTAGCCATCATGCCATGATGTCCCTGTTTCGATTCTCGCTGAGGGACATGTGGTGCATATTAAATATCGATATCATGCTTCCTCTCTGGATCTTTATCAGGAAGAAGAAACGCACCAAAGAAACCAAGTTCGTTCACAGATTGCTTTTCCCCTTTTCAACTGTGAAATAAAGTGTGTTTTTTTGCCTGAAATTGAGACGACAAACCACTTAATGGGTCTGGAAGGGAAATTTGGAATTTTGTCAGGAGTATGGCGGTTAAGTATATTTAGAATATCGGGAAATTAAACTATATCATCTGAGATATTGGATATTATGGTATGAGTGTTGAAATATCCAGTTTTCCAGGACCTCAGGACCCACTATTTCCCATTAGTTGTCCTGTTGCCTGTGGGCTTTTGAAATGTAATGTTATGGTTGGATAACCCTAATTACCTAATCTAATTCAAAGTCGTTGACCTTTAACCTCCTGCTGCTGAACTCTAATTCAATCTCAAATCTGCCTTTGATTCTGATCTATAACACTAAAATGACCTTCTGGTTTCTTTGCCCACAGCATACATTTCTGAGGATTTTCCTAATCCCCTCATGCTTTGTGGATATAACAGCCTGAGATCATGGATCATAAACATAAAAACACACTTAAATCCCACAAGAACAGATAGGAAAGACAAGAACTGGCCAAACGGACCACACACTCATTTACACACACCCTGCCAAGCTGACACCTCTTTTGTGTGAACAGACCACACACATACACACGTGCACACAAACACACACGCGCACACACACACACACACACACACACACACACACACACACACACACACACACACACACACACACACACACACACACACACACACACACACACACACAAACACACACACTAGACGTGTATGTTCCCACACACACAGAACAATTTGATACATTTCCCGCTCTTATGTGCCCATCCCCCCACATGGATCACACAGGCACACGCAATACATGTTCAGTGTCTGTTCTTTGTACATTTACATTTTGGATAAGTTCCTTACTTATTAAGGACGTGAGTCAACCGATGTATTTATTTCTGCCTCTGAGGAATGCTTGTCCAGGTCAACCTCCATTCTGTCTGAGGTTTACTGACACAAAGCATATTTATGTATAGAGTAAACAACCGGCTTGCCTCATTCAGCAACAACGGACACAAACCAGCCGAGGAGCTTCTGTTAACATGTGTGTGTCTCTGTTTGTTTGTGAATGCCGAAGCGCGGGGGCAACACCGGAGCGTTCCTCTTTGTGCTGTGCTCATTGTCCCCACCGTCTTTTGTCTTTACCAGGCTGGCATGGGGTGTAACGGCACTGAGTTTCAAAGAAGGGCCTGTTTCCAGATTAAAAATAGCCGGCCTTCGCATGAGAACCAGGGGATTCCCCACATGCTGATACATAGCTCCAATGTTTTTCATTTTGGGGCGAGGCGGACGGCTCCAAATTGAGACTAAGACTTTAATCGTTCTAATAAATGCACATCTTAACATATTATTCAACCCATAAAGTTTAAAAAGACATCTGATCTGCTGAGACTGGATTGTTGCTTTATGCCAGTGAGAGAATTGAAAGCAGGCAAACTCTGTTACGTTTAAGATACAGATCAAACGGTAATAACATTTGTCGGTTGTCCTGACACAATGTGGATACAATAACGGGTGATTTAAGTCAGTTTTCATCCACTATATGTTTATATATGTCACAAATGTTTCTGTTTTCTCCGATGATCAAAGACAGACGTTTCCTTGCTTTTGCTCAGCTTCAAAACGTCATCAATCATTTCATATAGAAAAACATGTGCTCGTGGTATATTAAATATAAGGTTGTGTCACAGATATACATTATGTCCAACCTGTGTTCTCCCTTTCTGGGTATTTCCTGTCTTTTTAACACAAAAGCATCTATTCTAGAGCGGTATGAACAGTTCCTATTAAAACCACATCTGCACTTCTACATGAAGATTAAAACAATAACTGGTGATAAACAAACTGTTGTTTCAACTAGGCATGCAATGACTCACCATCGTAATCGGTTAATTAAGTGGCATCCTACCAACATGACAAACCGATCAAACTAATAATTTAGAATAAGCATCCTCATCTGATATTTCTACTCAAGGAAACACTTGATGTTCTCTTCAATAATGTGGAAAGAACATGTGTATACCTGAACCATCCCTAGTTTCCAGTTATTGCAAAAATGATACGGCTCGCCAGAAAAGCACAGCTGTGTTCCTTTCTGTAGACCCACATGTTCCCGTCACACTGAGAGCCTGATTGATATCCGTCTTTCTACATAAACGCAGCAGCGAGCTTCAAACATGAACCGTATACCTGCTGTTTGATTGAACACTAGCTGTGAGAGCATTAAGGAAACTCAGATGTCTGCTTATTCTCCAGAGGACATTTAGCGTTGTCTGCCACTGCGCGGTCAAAGAAAGTGTGTCGGAGAGATGCTAAGGTATCCCTCTCATGTGGAGATGCGCAGTAAAGTCGTTTCCTCTCTCCCAATAGAAAGGGAGTCGCGTTACAGTTTAAAGAGGCCTCTTGCTGGAATTCATCAGCTTCATACATCAGTTTCAAACTTCATCCCCGCAGGTTTTCTAAGTGCCGAATCCTGCGAGGTGTACCTGGCTGTTGACCTCACGTTAAGATTCAATAGTGTCTGTGACTTTTGAAATCACAATGCATCAGGCTTTTCCTCCACACCAGCTCCCTGACAGAGGAAGGAGGAGGAGGAGGACAGAGACGTGACACTGGAGCTCTCCCAGGCTTTTATGCCTCCACACACTCAACATAATACAACACAGATGATGACACGCTTTGGAAGTTGCTGAGTTAACTAGCCAGTGTGTACTTTCCCCTGCTGGGACTCACTGAACAACATCTCAATGACAACACTCAGTAAACATGTTGCACTAACTTAGCGGTGACAGCAGCAATTCATGTCTGAGCAAGTATTGTTCAGCTGTGCAAATAAGGCAGAAAAACACTCTTACTTCCAAATATTGAATATTAAACACTTAAAATCCCTTTAAGGGTCTTGAAAACTAGCAACAGGCGCGGTAATATCATCTTATTCCAGGGGATGAAATGCTTTTAAATGAAACCCCAGGGGGTTAATACCCAAACTGCATCGTTCACTGACCTGCATATTTCACCTCTGCACACGACATCTGTTACCTCCTAGAAAGCAATTTACAACTACTTTCTGCCCAAATAGCTACAATATGTTCATTTAAGCGGCAATTTTAAGCCATTTAGTTAGATAAACGCTGCCGATCAGACAGACAGACAGAATGCTAATTCTTTCTGTCAGGTGTCTTGTAAAATCTGGATTCCATTGTTAAAAGTGCAGCCAGGAAAAGCAGCTTTCCAAGTTAGAAACTTCGCCAAACTTCTCCCAGAAATGAATTACACCTCTGACGAAACTTTAACTTAATTCCAAATTACTTAGAATTACAACTGTTTTTATAGCATCGTGATAAGAGTTAAAACTGCATACGACATTCAGCGGTGATTTAAACTCAAGTGTCAATTACTTTTCTGCAGGATTGCACCGTAAAGACTCTTGCTGCGATATGGATCAGATAGAGAAACGTCAGGAACAAAGCCAAACTGTTTCCAAAAAGGAATAGTTAAAGAATTGCAACTCGCTGCGTTTCTATTGCATCTATCTAAACGTTAAAGTGCAAATGCGGGAGATTTTCAGCTGTGATTTAAACTCAAGTGTCAATGCGAAACAAAGCATCGTAAAGACTCACTAAAAAAAGTTATAGACTAGACGCTGTGTTTTTCTGGCATCAATCTAAAAGTGCATAAAGCGACTTTCAGGTGCTCCAAACTTCCCAGTTAAATACAGCGTCTTTCCACGCTCAAAGTGCGTCTCCTTACCTGCGATATGGACATGTTCAGGTAGAGGAAGAGCCCGGTGGTGGAGGCTATCTGCAGCACCACGACCACGATCACCACCATCGCCACCCAGGTTTTGGACGGTGCTTCCCGGCGCCGAGGCGCACTGGGCCCGGCGGCCGGCACCATCATGTAGGTGGTGGACTCGCTGCTCACAGACCTGAAATAATCCTGGTGCTGCTGCTGTGCGCTCGGAGTGGCCATGGCATTCCCGACGCATGAGCAGACATCAAACCAAGGGAGTGTAGAAAACAAAACAGCCAACTCCACAAGTGACCAAAAAGTTAGATCTCCATGCGTCCGGGGGAGCTGTTCATGGAGCTAGAAACACATCTGGTGGAGGAAGGAGGTGCAGACAGGAGAGGAGAGACCGAGTTAAAGTTTGGGTCTGAGTGTGGAGCTGCGTTAAGAGAAGCTGCGGGAGGAGGCAGCGACACACTGAGGGGCTGCAACCGAGAGAGAGCAGCAGAGAGGGGGCAGGCTTAACCTTTTCATCACCCTGGAGCTATATGGAGGAATGCTCTCTCTCTCTCTCTCTCTCTCTCTTTCTCTGTCTCTCTCTCTCTCTTTATCTCTCTCTGTCTCTCTCTCTCTCTTTGTCTCTGTCTCTCTCTCTTTATCTCTGCCTCTGTCTCTCTTTTTCTCTCTCTCTCTCTCTCTCCTTTTCTTGGAGCAATGTGTCATAAATAATAAAAGCTTTTTGTTAAATTACTGTCTCTCAATTGGTTTGCTTTATTGCTGGAATAATCAATACATGAGTTAAAAAAAATCTGAAAAAAGTAGTAAGAAAGAACAACGCTAATTAATTGACACTTTTGTCTTTTTCTCGAATGATTTTATTTGCTTTAACATTACAAATAATGTTAAATAAAGCTCATTCTCAGTCTGCTTTCCAACTCTATTTCCAGAGCTGTGGGAACACAAAGATGAGACCTCATTGGGAAATGACTGTAGATTTTATCGCTATGCAGCGTATTTCTGTATGCCCATAAAGCCCATATCCTGTATTAAATCAGTAACACAGAGCAGTGAGTCTCTAGATACAGAATCATATTTTCTCAGACAGCCTCTGTGTTTACAGTTCATCTCTAAGAACGGAAAAGATGAATGACTTCGATTAAATCTGCAAACATTTGACATGTGTTTCTTTAAAGCTGGAGCATTGGTCTCCCTCCTCTGGCAGAGAGAGTTATTACCTGAGAAAGACACAGATGAAATATAAGGTCCTCACTCCAGCTGTGAAGCTAAATCAGGCCAGGGGTGTTAAATGGGGGCTTGGGGGATAATTCCTTTCGCTCTGAACCACAATATGTTCAAACTTGTCCTCCATTTGGATCATCTTGCATGGTTGTGACACTTTCTAATGAGCTAAATCTGCCCATGCAAATGGAGGACAAGTTTGAACATATTGTGGTTCAGAGCGAAAGGAATTANTCTTTAAAGTAGAGACACTACATACTGATATACACCTGAACATCAGCAGGAGAGGACTCTTTAAAGTAGAGACACTACATACTGATATACACCTGAACATCAGCAGGAGAGGACTCTTTAAAGTAGAGACACTACATACTGATATACACCTGAACATCAGCAGGAGAGGACTCTTTAAAGTCGAGGCACTATGCTTTTCTCCGGTTCCCTCTCAGCTCTCTGTGCACTTTATTAAGATTCATATAAATTAAATGACCCTCTCTCAGAGTCTCTGTGGATTTAGAGAGGAAACCGAGAGAAGAACAGCTTTACTCAGAAAAACCATCAGTAGTAATATTTCAAATTATAGCTTGCAGTTAGGTCTCATTTATTTCACTGCACGGGAGAAACTGGAGAGAGTCCGTGCAGGAAATAGATAACATGATGAGTGTTTCTCTCAGGGTTTGATGCAACAGGTGAGCAGGTGATTTTAAAAAGTCTCCTCAGGTGTCCTGCATCCTTAACGAGGAGGAGGGCGGCAGCCAATCAGAGAGCATTTAGATAAAGGAAACCAAAAACCAAGAAGGACGTTAGCTTTAGCAGTGTGTTAATATGTGGAGATGATCCTGCTGTGTCCTTTTCTCACCTCCTGTCCTCTCTTGTTTATTTTCCTCATCTCCTCTTGTTTCCTCACCTTCTCTCTTATTATCTATTTCCTTTGCTCCTTTTGTTCACTTTTTCCTCTTCTCTTGTGACATCTTGTTCTCATCTCCTTTCCTCCTCTTCCCTTTTATTTCCTCAATTCTTCTCCTGTTCCTTTCCTTCTTGCGTCCTCTCCTCCTCTCCTCTCTTGTTTGCTAACCTTCTCTCTTATTATCTCCTTATTCCAAGGAATCTTGTTTCCTCTCCTTTTGTCTTTGTTCCTTGTCCTTTCTTACTCATCTCCTTCTCTCTTCGTATCCTTTTCTAATCTGATCTCTTGTTTCCTCTCCTCTTCCCTCTTCTTGTATATTGCTTCCTCATCTCCTCTCCTATATTAGTTTCCTCTCTTCTATCCTATTTTCCTTTTATTTCCTTGCCTTTTCGTTTCCCCTTCTTTCCTCTCCTCATCTCCCCTTCCTCATTACATACCCCTTTGTTTCCAATCCTTTTCTCCTCCTCTCCTTTTCTCCTCTCTTGCTTCCTTTCCTTTCCTCTCTTCATCTCCTCTTCCTCTCTACATATGTGTTTGTTTCGAGTCCTTCTCTCCTCTTCTCCTCCTGTCCTATCTTGTGTACTTTCCTCTCTCCCCAGCTTCTCTCTTGTTTCCTCTCCTCTCCTGTGTCCTTACCTCTCCTTTCCTTGTTTCCTCTCCTCCTCTCCTCTTCCTCCTGTCTGCAGGACATCCTGTCTCTGACCTCCATCCCTCTGTTTCCTGCGACAGGAAGCAGAGGCAGGAGGAGGAGGAGGTGAGGGAGGAGGACGCAGGATGAAGAGGAGGGGCTGAGGGTTCTGCAGAAATGTTTAAGGAAGAGAAAGAAGGGTGTAGACAAAGGAGGAGGTGATGAAGAGGAGGAGGAAGAGGTCAACATGTAAACAAACAGCAGAGGAACGTGTTGAATACATATTATTGACATACTTTTTATATTTATATTTCCACTGCTGTGTAAAATATAGTTCTATGTGTGTGTTCTTGGTAACAAAGGACACACACACACACACACACACACACACACACACACACACACACACACACACACACACACACACACACACACACACACACACACACACACACACACACACACACACACACAATCAGGTGAAGATCTAAATCTGTTGCAACTTTATCACAGGGTAGGTGTGTGTCTAACAGCTAATACGGGGGGTGGTGATAGGTGTCTCTCATCCTGATGACTTGTTAGAGGTGTTCTAACATCCTGGGACTTACGTCTATATTGGGCTGTGAGCGGTATATTAACAATGGGATGAAGAACTGTGTAGAGAGACACATCATGCTAGAGCGCTGCGTGATGACGTGTTTTTGAAGTAAAAAGCTAACGTGTGTGTGTGTGTGTGTGTGTGTGTGTGTGTGTGTGTGTGTGTGTGTGTGTGTGTGTGTGTGTGTGTGTGTGTGTGTGTGTGTGTGCGGACACAGCTGCACACATTTGAAGTAATGCAACTGCTGGTGACACAGATTGTTGTGGAGAACTGGCTTGTTGAAACATTCAGTAAGACAAGACAACAGCAGAGACAGAGCAAGGAAAAAATGGAAAGAGGGAGGGAGATTGTTCTCCTTGCTTCTGCTCCGTGGCACTGACCTCCACAGGCGAGGGTAGGCCTGTCAGCCACACTTATTAAGCATGATAAGGGCAAAGGACCTGCTACTGCTGCACTCTCAGCCCCCAGCAAACACAAAAGAACCACAAAAAGACAGACAAATACGAACATTTTACTTAAAACTGGCTTTCCCGTTTACTCATTTCCCTGCTCTTTATTCCCCTAGTTACCTGTGTGAGCTGTTTACTGCTGCAGAGCTTCTCAGAAAGAGAGTGGAGTTGTGCCGTGATCTTCTCATTGGCCCTTCGCAGCTCTTTGGCTGAGAGCACAGCGTCTTTCCCGGCACTTCGCAGTATGTCAACGTGACGCTGTAGGGACTCCACGCGCTGCTGCAGAGAAGAGGAGGAGCAGTGCTGGCTCTTCATTAGCATCCTCTTCCTCCTCCACCTCCTTTTCTCTCCCCTCGTCCCTCGATCCCAGGGCTCATGCTGCTCATCGTCTAACAGGAGGAAGTACACGCAGGCACCTCAGAGTTGACAAGTGCACCGAACAAATCCCTATTTAGAAGCTACTGGTGGGAGATAACAGGCTTATGTAAAAGTGTCTTTGTGAAAACTGTGATATATTTAACAACTTGAATGATTAATATTTTCCATTTATACATCATACGGGTTCTGAAGAAGCACCTCAAAACAAAGCTTGTTAAACTTCCTGAAAACTTGTTTCCGATCGACGCCATGTAGATACATCGAGTGTTCTTCCTGCTTCAATTAATAGTCGATTAGATTTTTGTAGTTTTGCATGGGTGTGAAAAAAGGGAAAGCTATTCTACCTTGGACCAGAACGTCGGGTTGCTTTCTGCTGGATCCTGCTGCGGCTGCGTGTGAGATCATCGAACACCTGTAGGACTGAGAGAACAGTACAGTCAGAGGCAGACATGAAAAGCAGCTGTTAAATGTAACACAACCGGTTGACATGTTGTGCTTCCTGAAACGCAGCTCATAATGACACCATGATCACAGGGTGTGCTCGGTTTAACGCGACAAGACAAATCACCCTGCGCTTTAATAATTCACCTGAGCGCGTTGAACCGACTTCAACGTGAGCGCCTCTCCGCACGGATATTACCTCTGACAGACGCTTGCAAATACCGCCTTTGTTCAATCACTGTCGGAAAGCCCTGATTCACTCTTACAGTATGACGTGTGTGTAGTCATTTGCACTCATAAGTGTGTGTATGTGTGTGTGTGTGACAACTCCCAACTGCACCATCGTTTGTAGTGACATCAAAGAAGGCACCCCCCCCTCCCTTCTTCTCTGCCTGTTCCCTTTTGTATATGGGGTCAGGTAGGATTTGATCAGTGCCAGGTTTGATCACACGGTGCCTTGCAGAGAGGAGGGGGGGGGTGAACCCTTTGGTTTGTGACATAGCACGTCGTGAGCGGCCAGGGCTGTCATGGCGATGAGCCCGGGAGGAGCTGATGGGCACATTTAGCAGAATCTGGAGCGGGGAAACTTACAAGGGGATCTGAGAGGTAGGGTCCTGACAGCTCCCTGGCTACATGTTCAACAACAAGCCGCACTTCATCTCCACCTTCTACCTAGCTCAGCCTCCTCTCGGAAAACAGAAGGAGAGGGAGACAGGGTATCTTTAAAGGTCCCCATCTTTCCGCCCTTCATATCCCCTCTTGACGGACAGATCTCTCTGGGGTTTGGAGCTGCCATGTCCTTCTGAAGTGGTTTGATATGGACAAGTGCAAGGGTCCAGGCCTTATTGATTCTAATGGTGTGGGGAGGAAAAGGAAGTAAGAAGCTCTGACATCCACACGTATAAAAGTCTTTGTGAATAAAAGAGCATTGGGAGTGGGGATAGATGCCTCAGAATGATCCATATGCCGACTTATCACATGCAGTATACCCCGATAATATATATTCATTTCATGGTAAAAATCATCAGTTCAGACAGAATCACAAGATGTCAACTGAAAAAACCACTTCATGAATTATCTGTCGTGTTCCTATTTCTACATCTTCAACAATTATTCTGTCAGATTACATCTCTAAACACAAAGGACATTTTTAGAGAAAAGAACATTGTTTGAATTACAGAATAAAGCACATTAAAACAAATGTGTTTTTAATTACGTTGGTTTTGTAGCAGTTATTAACTCATAATAACTGCTACTCTAACCCTAACCATTTAAATTAATTGAAAATCTGCTTGCAATTTTGCTTGGTAAGGTGCCTTGACATATTTTTCTTAAAAACGAAGGAATAATTTACACTGAATATGACATTAGACCCACCTTTAAAGATAGAATTATAAAATAAGGACTAAGAAGTTTAAATGTCATACTGTGGTGCTACAAATTATACTTCAATAACTAAACAAAAGTATGAAATAAGTGTTTTTATGATAGTCTTACACAACTGGAATAATAGCACAATCTAAAGAAGTCCGATCATTATTCTGAAAACCTGTTTGTACTGTAAAGCTATTTAAATGCTGGGTATTCAAAAAATAAATCCAACTCTAAAACATCAATCTTGCAGAATTAGACAAGGGGAACATACTAAATTAGACCAGTGTTCAAATCTGACATCTGTTCTGTATTTTCTTTAAATGTAAAACATGTTTTAGGATGAGCGCAGACCAACCTTCCTGTCAGTGTGTCGTCTGTGTAGCGTTGTCCTGGAGGCCCCCCCGTTGAGACTGTCCTCATACTCTTCACCACTGTCACTGGAGAGAAAAGCAAAGAGGAATATTACCGGCCAGAAATTGAACCCACAACCCTGCCTCTGAAAGTACCACCACTGGACAAAAATCCAATTTACCTTTTATGCTTGATTTAGTTGACATCAAGCTAAAATATGTGCATTCGCCCCCCCCCCTAGACTTCCAACAGAAAATCAATGTCCCATCCAATTTCTGAGCTGGAAGTGTAAATGCGGGTGTAAATGAAGTGAAAAGCTGCGGTGTCTGCTGCTGATGCTGAATGCATCAACATGTATGAGAGCGGCTGTGGCCTTCATTAGCCCTCTGTGTGTGACAGACGTGTGTGAGAGGCACGGCTGAGCGGAGCCAAGCAAAGTTGCATCTGATGGACACACGGTAAGGGCTTCCTGACACACACACACACACACACACACACACACACACACACACACACACCACAATAACGTGAATTGTTCTGACTAAGACATTGACAGAAAGATCCCTTCAAGGAGAAGCATGGTCAGTGTTTGCTCTCACCGGCATCCTTTGCAAAGGTCAGAGGGCCAAAGGGGGATTTCCTTGGGTGAAGGTGGTCCACTTGGTACAACATGGCTGTGCAGCAAACAAGAGAGAAACAGCACATTCATGTAAACATAGTGCACACCAAAAGGCAAATGAGCTCTATGATGACAGGTGTGGTTTATCTAAAACAACAATTAAACAAAAGTCCACAAATACTGTAACGCCAAACACAAATCATCGTGTTCAGCACCGCATGTATAAGAAACCACTTCAGATATGTTAAAAAAACATTAAGTCAGAAAAAAGGAATGCATTTTGGATTAATTTACAAAACGTTGAACATTATAAAAGTGATCTTGATCAAATCACACTGAGGAAGAAAATCGTACTTAGGAAAATAATTCAGAAACCTCTGAGTGTGAGAGTCAGGTCAGTAAAATTATAATCACATCTTTGCAATAAAAGGACGCTAAAATAAGAGAACTACCTTGCTTGATGCCAATGTATTTAAGAGATGCCACTGGGAGTCTTGCCTCACTGAATTGCAGATTTCAGCTGCCTTTGTCTTGAGTTAAGGGCCTTTGAACACATCTTTAGGAAGACCTTTTACAATTATTTTTAAGAGGGGGATCAGGGGCCGTATTCACAAAGCATTTTATCTTACCGCTAGGAGTGCTCCTAACTCGCGCTAAAACATTTTACGTAGGAGTTTTTTCTTAAAAGTGATTCACAAAGCCGCTGAGACCTACTCATACTAAGGATAAATCACTAAGAGTGAACTAAGAGTGACGCGCCGTTGCTATGGATGACGTCGATTCTCGTGCATGAGTTTAGAANATATTTAAATTAGAGTGTGTATTTTTCTTTCATATTGCCACACTTGGTAACCGTTTTATAAAAGCAATAGCTCACTTCAGGCCGTGATATATGCTCATTATATCACAGTTAAGGGGGTTGTCAACCCTCCGCTTTGCGTCGGGCCGAACCACGCCCCTTAGCTGTGATATAATGAGCATAATTATACCACGGCCTGTCGTGAGCTATTGGCTAAATATATCACACTAATTCATAAAGCAATTTAGACATTTTGAAGTTCTGGACCTTTGCATGGGGAGATTTTCTCTAACTGGACCTCGTTGAACTTCAGTTGAATACCCCTGCACTAAAGGAACAAATGTATTTATCAATGTGAACCTTTAAATCAGGGGTGGGGAACCTTTTTCCTCTCAAGGGCCATTTCAATTTTTACAATATCCTCCGAGGGCCGTATACAAGTTATTGACCTCTGCTTAAAAATACTAAACTCACAGATTCATTTCGCCTTTCTGTTATGCTGTGAAAAGAAAAAGCAACCTCTTAATCCAGATATTTTACCATGACTCGCACATGCATGCACGTGCACGGTTGTGGCATGACCACCACAACAGAAAGATGGACACAAGATGTGTGCAAAAGTATTTAGTTTCCTATCCATGTGGACATGATTTAAGTGGCCGGGGGGAGCTAACCTCATTTTTAAATGTTGAAGTTAAAAGCATCAATCTGGTGCGCTTTGAGAGCAACATTAAGAGATCTATGGATACATCTCTCAACACCCATATGAAATTTGTATGGAAAAGTCTAAAAATGTTATTGTGAGTTGTATATACAGAGCTTCTGGAACCTGTATTGACACATTTACAGATAGGTAGAAAACATGTTTACTAAATCATTACAAAAAATTATGTTTATCTGTGGGGATTACAATATTGACCTGTTGCTTATTTGGATTCAACAGGTCAATATTGTAATCCCCACAGATAAACATAATTTTTTGTAATGATTTAGTAAACATGTTTTCTACCTATCTGTAAATGTGTCAATACAGGTTCCNTTCCTGAGAGGGCGTTGCAAAGTCACCCTTTTGTTTCCAATTTCAAGGATTTAACCATGATTGACGCTACATCACAAATACAACAAAGACAACTGGGTGTTTTAGACTTAGTCTGTTTTGGCAATGTTGCAGCTCTGCAGTTGTGTTTGCCTGAATAACTGTAGCATTTAATCCTTATTTGTTATGGGTTTTCACAGGCTACTATACAGGAAAAACATCAATATTTAGATCATAAAGTAATCTAATCTTATATCTTAATGTATTCAGAAATATATAGTCTTTATATAATTGAAATAATCTGAAATAATAATGTAAATGTTTACACTTGTTTTTTTTTCATGCTCATGACTTTTACCTTAGAATAGTTTGCTTTAAATAGGCAGTAATATTTTTTTGTAACATTGTTTGTACTGTGTAAAAACACCACCACAATGTACAAAAATATACTGCCTATTAATAGCAACTATTCTAAAGTAAATATAGCCATAAAAAACAAGTGTAAACATTTACATATTTCAAGATTATTTAATATATAAAAGACTATATAGTTGCCATTGAATTACAATTTAAGATAATAAGATTAGATATATTTTCTTTATTTGATTCTAAAAATATTGATGTTTTCCTATGTAAACCTGTTGAAAACCATAAAATAAGTGATTTAAAGCTAAACAGTATTTAGGGCAACACACTGCAGAAGCTGCAATTGCAACAGACCTAAGTCTAAAACACCAGTTTCTTTGTGTATTTGTGAATGTAGCCGTCAAATCTACATTGGTAAATCGAAATTGACAAAAGGGACATTGCAACGCCTCTCCAAAGGAAATAGTGGGGAGTCTTTAATCTCCACCACTGGATTCCGCTGGGTTTGGTTGGAGTCCTATGTGGAGTGCTACATCTGTACGTCCTATACGATCATTTCCTGATAACAATGACGCCATAGCCCCGCCTCTTCCCACCTCTGCTGCTCACCCCCGCGTCACCCGCGTCATTGTTGATGTGTTTCACCAACAACAACAACAATGGTGGATCACAGGGTTGCTTTTGTGCTCCAGACGCTACTGACCATGCTACAGATGTTAGTGCAAAATCTACAGCTCCTCTACCACAACCATCAGCAACAAGTGGACATGGAGAACTACATGTTGCTAAATCCACCGCGGAGAATAAACAGAAGGGTAACCAGGCAACCATGCTCGGGAGGTCTTATTCGCTGCTTTTGGTGTATTTTGTGGCCACTTACAGGGCCGGCATATGTACTACAGCGTTTCCAGCGGGTCGAGCGGTCTCGTGTGGAAGGACACGTTTCTTGAGCCGAATGCGTGTGAACGGAAGACTTTTTTGAAAACGAATTTGGTGCGTAAACGCAAGCGTACCCGTTTCGTCCTCGTGTAAATGGGGCCTAAGGCCCTTAGTTCCCAGCACTTAGTTCCCCCATGGAACTAAAGAGCAGATCGCGTTCACACCGGAATAAATTCCCTGAGGGAAGATTACGCAAATGAAGCCGCTGACGTCACTTCTTCTTCTTCTGCTTTGGGTTTACTGGCAGGCGGCAAACAACTTCAGGGCGTATACTGCCACCCGAAGACCCGGAGACCCTGGCCGGAAGTCCCCGGAGTTGGGGACTGGCTTCAGTAGAAGCTGCTGGGACTCCCAGCAGCTTCTACTAAAGCCTTCCGAGTAAATCGCCAGAACGCCGACACCTCCTCATCTCCACCGCTCCCATGTTTTTTTTGTTGTTGCCATAAGTTAGTCTCACTCCGTTTTTGCGCTGGGCTAATGCTAATAATGCTAATGCCAGCAAATACAATGGTGGCTTCACAAAACCTTTCAGAGTTTTACGGGGCGTGGTTTGCAATTCGCCCAGCCAATCAGAAATTGGAACTTTTTTTCTCCCCAGGAAAGTACCTGCTCTCTAACAGGGACGGAAAAGGGGGGAAAAGTTCTCATGAACTAAGTTCTCTTTTTGGTGTGAACGCAAAATCCCGGGAAAAGTACGGGGAAAAGTACTCCGGTGTGAAAGCGCCTAATGAGCAGGTATGGAATGTACACTTTTACCTTAGTGAGGATGTGTTGTTAACCCCTTTTCTAGGTAATACATATTCTTTTGAAGTGATGCAATTGGTTGATCAATAGAAAAAAAGAAATAAAAATGAAATCTTAGTGAAAATTAGTATGGGATGGACAGTTAAATGTAAAGGCCTTATTAGACAATGTAGTCTCTATTAAGACATGGTGTGATTTTGAATCATATATTAATGAACACCTCTGTTGAATAAATTGTAAGCCATACTTCCAATGTAGCCCACAAAATGTATAAAAACACAGGCCTACTTGTGCAGTAACCTCATTTAATAGTTACAATTATCGCTAAGGTATATTTAAGAATATTTAAGTAAGGTATATTCGATTTGTGGGAAAATGGCTAAGCTATCTCCAATTGCTGGCATGCAAATAAACTATTAACATATGTTTACCAGGAACTAGTCTTAACTTTAAGGAGAAATTCTGAGATAACATACGTACTAAGAAGCTTCATGAATACAGACTCAGCTTTTTGATTGGCTTTTTGGAGGAATTGAAAGAGGACTCAATTACATTTCAACAAGAGCTCATAGGTGACCCACTACTTCCATGTAGATCTAAAGTAAGCAGATACAGAATACTTCTGATTAAAGAGGACAAGCAAAAATCATAATCATCTTCCACCTCCTAATGAAGGAAGGCAGCTTAAGCTGTTTTTGGTGATCTGAGGGCTGTGTTTACCCTTAAGGAATACACAGCTCATTAACTAACAGTCAGAGATCCTTTTATTTTATTTACAGCCTAATAGATATTCACTGTCACTAGTCAGGGGTTACATTCAATTGACCTAAACCCTGCATGTGGAAGAATCCAGAAAGAGATTAGGGGAGAATTTATCACTCATTCTCAGCCCTGGGAGAAACAAAGGACACACACACACACACACACACACACACACACACACACACACACACACACACACACACACACACACAGTGTTGTGTCTGTGTGTGTTTGTTTAGAGCTCTTAGCCTGACTAGTACCACAATCACAATTGCCAGAGGAGCAATTTAGACAGGACGAGGATTAGGGCATAGAGATCAAATGAGCAGTAAAAATATATCCTCTTTAATAACTAGCTACCTCTGAAGCTCTTCACACACATGAGGACACAAAGGGCCATTCAAAAACATGAAGTGCACAGCGCAAGAAAGAAAATGCTTTCATTTTGTTGGATTAGGGAAGCACTGAAGCAAAAAAACAGCTGTAAACCGTGTTTACCCTGAGATGAGTGAGATGTTTAATTATGCAAGCAACTTATATTGTATAATGGAAAGGAATATACTGTAAAAATAATCACATATTGATGTGTTGTAACATCATTGTTGTGATATCCAAGAGCAATTTTAAAACAAAATACTCCAATATCCTTGAGATTAGAAAACATCTCAGGTTTTGGATTTTGTCAAATAGCACAAGTGTTGTTAATGGTTTTAATGGCTGATGGGGATTTTTTTGAATTTACAAAACTGTTCTATCAGTAATATTATCTGCCTTAACCCGCTCAGTCATTATATCCAAATTACAGATGACTATTTATAGAACATTTCATTGTGTAAAGTACTTTGTGAAAGCATTAATAATCAAACTGAAATATACCGTCACAATATCAATGAATCCGGGTTATTTTAAAAACATTTGGGGTATTTGATTTTTCTCAGATTGCCCTGCCTAACACCCAACTCATACATTTATTTCCCCCGAAAAAAAGACATTTCCCCAACTCTGAACAATTCTATACATTTAGGCAGGGATGACAAGCCAAAATATTCTTTGTGAGATAACTACCTTCAGTGTGTGTGTGTGTGTGTGTGTGTGTGTGTGTGTGTGTGTGTGTGTGTGTGTGTGTGTGTGTGTGTGTGTGTGTGTGTGTGTGTGTGTGTGTGTATTGTGGAGTAGTCACTACATGCAGGGCCACTGTTTAGCAGTTCAACAGCAGTGCTTACAGCCTGGGGCGTGTGCAGGGGCCAAAAGGGTTTTCTGGCACACAATAAAAAAAATCTCCACACACAAATACGCACAAAGGACAAAAAAACAAGCTCATAAAGACACACCCGGACACATCAATGTGCACACAGACACACACAGAAGCGCAGCCCTCCGGTCCTGATCAATACATGACAAGAGTAAATCTCCTCCGGACGTCAGGCAGTCCAATCAAAGGGCTCGGTGTTCTTATAGGGAATCACAGGAGCCAGGGGGAGGCAAACAATGATGTGAATCCTCAACAACAACACAATGGCCCCGCCAGCCTTGGGTTATGGGAATGGAGGAGAGGAGTTATACGAGCGTGAACTGTATTTCTATGCATTTATATAGACTAATGGAGCCCTATATTGAGGTTACGTATAGTTTGCTTGCGTGTGTACCTTCTTCACTAAATAAATGCTTATGTGTGAAAAACGGGGGCTAAAGGCTAAGATGTGGAATCAAGTTACAGTAGGACACATGCCATCTTTCTCCAATTATTCTCAGATGCAAGAGAGAGCCATACAAGGACAGGAATGGCTTCAGTTATTTCTAATATTTCTGGATTTTAAGGACAAATAAAGAATTGCCACTAAGCTGTGTCCATGATCTGCCACTTGATTTATGTGTGTGTGCAAATACACTGCCAGCACTATCTATCCCTGCCAAGCCATTTCCCCCTTTGACAGACAGGTGTCAGCTGAACAGAGTTGATGGACAGTCTTTATCAGTCTCTGCCAGACACACACACAGACATGCAAACACACTCAAGGTGATGGATTAGGCCTACACAAAGACAATAGGGCCCATTCCCGTTGGGCACACAGCGTTCTCACTATGGTGGCCTGTGTCTGCTTATGTATTTGAGGATTGTGCAAAAGTTTAATGGCAAAAACACACATTGTTAAAAAGCCGTCCTTTATTCTGACACATAGGGAAACCAATGTGGTGAATGCAGGCTAAGCAAGTTGCTGACGTCTTCCCCTCAAGTCACATCCTGAGTGGGGTGTGTAATCCCTCCAGTGTTCTGGGTCTAGGTTTTCTCCCAGTTGGACTTTCCCAAAATACGTCCACAGGGGGGCATCAAGCTGACGTCCTGATCTGAGGCCTCAACCATGTTAAGTTGTTCAATTCAATGAATGAGCACGCATCCTACTCCTTCTGAGTATCCATCTGGTAATCAAATGAGCAGCTCTTGTTCTTTTGATCAGTACCTAAACCTCACGGGGCTGAAATGTCGATTGACAGTTCAATTGAGAGTTTCACCTTGAGGTTTCCTCTACACTTGAACAGCCTGGTACAATAGGCGCTTTCACCGTTTAGTTCCGATAGTTCCTGGGATTTTGCGTTCACACCAAAAAGAGAACTTAGTTCATGAGAACTTTTCCCCCCTTTTCAGTTCCTGCTAGAGAGGTGGTACTTTACCAAAACTCGGAAAAGTTTTGTGAAGCCGCATTAGCATTATTAGCATTAGCCCAGCGCACCAACGGAGAGAGAATAACTTATGGCAAAAAAACAAAAAAAACATGGGAGCGGTGGAGATGAGGAGGTGTCGGCTTTCTGGCGATTTACTCGGAAGGCTTCAGTAGAAGCTGCTGGGACCTGGGAGCAGCTTCTACTGAAGCCAGTGCCCAACTCCGAGGACTTCCGGCCGGGGACTTCGGGTGGCAGTATACGCCGTGAAGTTGTTTGCAGCCTGCCCGTAAACCCAAAGCAGAAGAAGTGACGGCAGCGGCTTCATTTGCCTAATCTTCCCTTAGAGACTTATTCCGGTGTGAACGTGATCTGCTCTTTAGTTCCATGGGGGAACTAAGTGCTGGGAACTAAGTACGGCAAAGTACTTGGTGTATAAGCGGCTAATGGTTGCATCATTGGCAACCCCACACGTGTTTACTTGTTGATTTCTTTCCTGGTGAGTTAAGGCCCGGACACACTAATCTGACAACAAAGAACTGACACAGACGGACCCCGACTGTTGCGTCGCCTCGTTTCTCTGCGTCTTGGCCATGTGTCGCACTGGAACGCACCGCAAAGACTTCAGCCGACGGCCAAGAAGCACGTACTCACTGCGCATGCGTGAGTGGCAATATCTCTCCTTACCAGCAGGTGGCGGTAGTGTGCATTCGTCATTCAAAAGAGGCAACAACCGGAAGACAGACTGCGTGATAACCGAGAGAAGAAGAACAGACTGCGTGATATAAACAAACAACAAATGGAAGCGTATGCGTTCCATTTTCACTCTACAGCGAGAAGCTCATGGGGCTTTCCCGAACCTGTGTCGAGAGCTGGAGTTAAATGAAATCAGAGGTCTGCCTTCTTAATCGCTTGTTTGGGTCCCTCACTTCCGTTTCGCTTCTCATGCACTGATTCGCTAGCTGAACAGCCAATCCGAGCGATTTATTTTGCCAACTGCCTTTCGCCGACTATCTACTCAGGGAGATGACACTGCCCGGTTTTCGTCCGAAAAGGCCCGAAGGTGCGGGACACACCAATCTAAGTAGGGCGTGTCGACGCTCATCGTCGGCCTGACGCCCACCGACAACGATAATCGGGGGTTGGTGTGTCCGTGCCTTTACAGCAACAACCTTGAACTTTACAAACAACATGGATGACTCTGGAAATGCACAGTCCAGACCCTAGAGAGGGAGCGTTATATAGGGGTGATCCTTGTATTACATATCTACTCAGGGAGGTGACATTGTGCTTTGCATCAGCCTGTTTTTTCAGAACAAGCCAAGGCCCAATTAACAATGCACCTTATGTAGGAAGGGATGAACCCACACAGAATCACTACAATTCATAGGTGAAGAACTTGCAGGCACACACAACACTGGTTTAAGATGATATCGCTGGACTTTGATCCTTTGCCCCTTTAGTACAGTACCTTGATGAAGGCATGGAGCTGCTCCAGATGGGAGTGGGCTTGGCCTAGCTGTCTCTGAAGCCTGTCCAAGGCATTGGAGCTCTGCTGGGTCAACCCCTTCATTTGCTCAGTGGCTGTCTGTTCCAGCGCGGCCAGAGCCTGCTCACTCGCGCCCACACGAGCCTGCAAGGCATGCATGCGCTGCTCCTGTAAAGAACAGCAGCAGGCACAACAGGTCAGCTGAACGCAAACAGGCTTTAGAAAAAGTAGGTACATGTCTGTGATAAACTTGTGGCAATTGTAGAATTTGAAAACTTCTGACATTGCAGACTTATAGTGGTAGTAATATGGGGCCATTGGGAATAAAAGGGGCCGAGTGCAACACATAGACCACAACAACTTTACATGGATTTCTCATAAAGCCATCATAATAGTTTGAAGATGCTACCATCATAACAATCGATTGTTAACAGTTAGGTGCTTATGAAGAGTATTTATCTCGCCTTGAACTTTAAAATGTTTATTATTTTATTTTATTGTTTTTACAACTTCAGCAGATTTCTTCTACATTACCATATCAAGTCTTTTTTGGTTGTACAGTGTCACAATGCTTACTTAATCCTCTGATTAAAAGTTATACAACAATACACCTTAAAAAGTCCTGAGGGGTTTCCCTGAAAGGCACTAAACATACACAGCAGAGGTGTAAAGAATCATGGATGGAAGACCTTACTTTTCCCTTAACTTGAAACATTTATTTCTACCAATAAGATACTGTGATCTTAATAAAAATATGACAATGTTCCCCTTAGGTGCAGTATATCATGGTAATGGACTATGCTTTGGCAAAAACAAGTGATTATATATATATTTCCAAACATTACCTACCTTTTTTTCCAACTCCTCTGTCAGCTTTTTACAGGACGCATCGTACTGGCCTTTCTCTGTGGTGGCAACACTCAGTCTCCTCTTTAGAGAATCAACGAGGGCCTTCCTGTTGGTGGCCTCCTCTGATGAAGTCTTCACCTGTACAGAGCAAATATTTGATGGCGATATTTAAGTCATATATTCATGTTTTTCATTTAAATACAATACAAAAATCTAATGTATAAATTAATGGTAAGGACATAATAAAGAAATGTCTCTGTCATTCTTCCAAGGAGCATCAAACTAATTGGATGACTGAATGATGGTGCTTTGTACCATGTATTGTATTGTATGTATTTGATTGACCTTTTTCTCCAGATCCTCCACCTGTCCACGGTAACTGTTCTCCATCTCCTGCAGGAACTTCAGTCTCGTCTTCAGGTCCTCCACCAGCTGCCTTTTCATGCTCACATCTCGCTCTGTGTGGTTCGCCCTGAAAACCAAAATTAACAATAAAAACAACAACAGAAATATTGTATGAAGCATAAATAAGTGCACATTTAAAACATGAATTTACAGTCGTGCACAGGGGCCCTAAATAACATACAGTACAACATCTACACAGCAGAACAAACACAAACACAGACACACAGAGCTGGCAGGCACAGTGTCCCCATGCAGTGCATCAGGCATGACAGCTCATTATGACAACTAAATACACTGGCATGCTGTTTGGGTAAGAGGAGGAGGGGTTGAAATAAGGATGCATATATAATTCTAACTGGCATATATTAGAACAAGTGCTCTGGCGGGGAATGCCGCACTAAGTGTGACTGGGGAGTCCTTTTTGACAAACGGCATTTAGAATCAGCAGTGACACTACTTGAAAGACTGTAATCAAGTATTTAAATGTTTATTATTTTCAGCTCTGCATTACACAAGTCACATATAAAAACGTGTCAGCTGGGGGACTGCTCGGCAAAGAATGATTATGGAAGGAATACGCTTTAAAAAATATTGTTTGTTTGTGTGCTGTGCCGTGGTGATAATACTTCCCTAAAGAGAGGCAAGGTCTCTGTATTGTGCGCTATTCATGTGTTAACTGTTGCAAACATGCGGCATGTGTCACTTCCCATTTCGATAACCCGCTGTATTGACGTGTTTAATATTCCAGTATTCAGCACAGCCGTATTCTAGCGAGGCCTTGTTTTAAATGGGCTCGGTGTGTTAGTATGTTTAATTCTGTTTTCATAAAAGGCAAATACCAGCCATTTTTCATGGTTGCCTATACCTTGGGGAATTGGAACAAATAGCATAAAGATCATAAGGATGCAGTTAATTAATATGGGTTTTACCAGTTTGTTTTATTTCAAAGATGTAGTGGATCTCTCAGCTCCCACGCGCATCACGGCTTGTGTGTTTTTGAATAAACAGATGACGAAACGCTGGAGCAAATGCTTTCGTGTAAGTAAATGTCCCTGTCTCCCTAGGTGGATAAATGCCTGAGGGCGGACTGGCTAAATAAATGTGAGCTTGTCCTATTGGAGTGACATTAAATTAAATGAGAGAAGAGTCTAGCCTGGGGTCTTTGGGGGGACGTAGCGCTGGCTGGTTACCCCATGGATTTGGCCATTAATGAGAAAACCCATATTGAACCTTTCAGAAGACTGTCTGCTGTTGACTTACAGACCAAGAGCAGCAATAAGAGCCGCCGCAGCAAGCTCCCAATGCTAATGGCAATTAGATCGACAACATTTATTTTAGATGTTCTCTTCTTCTGCACCCCAAAAAGAATAGAGGATAAAAAAGAATGAGGGATATATCGAGCTTCTGCCGGAGCGTGTGATCTCTATTTATGAGTGTTAGTGGAAAGAGAGCCTCGAACTATATCCCAATCACTCTCACGTTTGTTCCCTTTGTTCTGCGCTTGTTGGCAATATTGTTCATCAAACATGCGTGTATTGTAATAATAACAGTCAGAGGTCTGAAGTGTGTGTGTAAGAGAGAGCGGGAGCGCACATTTCTGTGTATGTTGTTAAGTGCGGGTGGACGTTTCATGTGGCTGATAGACAACAGGGCTGAAGATGAAAGGGGCAGCTTCATAAATAAGGCAGGGCCATAGTGCCGGATATTGACTGAGGACATGCCGGTATACTTTGAAATTCATTTCTTTTTTCCCCCCTTCTCTTCTTTAAGGCGCAGCAGCCTAGCTCCCTGTGTGTGTGCTGAGATGTATATTTCAGAGATGTCTAGACATGTCTTTCATTCTGAGAAGGGGTCCCTCCATGGAGGCAAACGGAGAGGTAGGCAAGAAGAGATGGCGAGTTACATGGAGCGTATGTGTGCCACTGAGTGTGTGACAAGAGCCAGAGGAGAGGCTGTCGTTGAAACTCAGCGGAGGGACGTTCACTCTGTCTGTCTGTGATCCGCTGCGCTTTGGTCACACACAAACACATACCCGCTGTGATTGTACACATGCCCACGATGCATTATTGAGAATGGCAGGCAGAGGACACAGCATAGGAGACAAAGAGAACATGAGGGAGGAAAGCCAAGTTCATCTTTGTGCCTTCCTCTCGCTCTAAGATCCTATTGCAGAATGATGATATGCGGCTATCGCAACGCGGCTCAAATCTTGACAGTTTCCCTGAGTGAATTGTTTATAGCTGTACATCCTGACTGTGTAATGCAGCGGGTGCTTCAGTAGGTGAACCATGTAACTCATTAGGGCTTGTGGCCCACAGGCTAGAGCGATGCTGTGTGGGTTTTAGTGTCATGGGCCAAAATGGTCCCTCCTGCGGCACACAAACAATCAATACACTGCTTTGATCAGCACTCCGCATCAGCTACCCACATAAGCAACACCGCACTACATGACACACAAGACACCCACACGCACACATGAGCATACACACTAATTCCTTCAGTCATTTTTTATTCACCCGCTCATGAAAACATGCATAATTTCACAAATGATTCACGCAGAGGAGAAGCATGCCTAAGTGGAGTGCAGCAGACAGAGTGCTGCCACACGGTGGAATCAAACACTACAGATGGGAGCTGCAGAGGCTGAGCATCACGCAGGCAGAGGCACAGGGAGACAAAGACAGAGGGAGGGTACAGCAAGAAGGAAAGGAAAGGTAAGAACTGTACCGCAGTGCAACTGAAAGAAAGCAACACAAAGAGAAAAAAGTAACACTCATGAAGAGAAAGGTGTGAAACTAACTTGTCCTGCAGCTGGCGGAGCTTGTCCTCCTTCTCCTGGAGTTGGCCTCGCAGGGCTTTGTTAGCTGCCACCTGCCTTGTGACCTCCGCACTTGCACTCTGGGGGGAGGGCACACGGTGTGTGTGTGTTGGTTAATGTGTTTGAGTGTGTGTGATAGGGGGTGGGGGTAGGTTTTCACGACACGGCTGATGACAGGTCAGGCACAGCATGCTTCCTCATTATAGTTACAGCGGGAGGGTGGAAGGTGCTAAAAGAGGTTAAGAGGAAAGCAGTGTTTTTCAAAGTGGATAAGAAAAGGGGTGATAGGAGAACTCAACAATGTATCGACCTTTACTATGGAATTGATGGGGACTACACAAAACAGCAACATTTGAATTTATATTACTAAATACTATAAAAATAATAAAGTATTTTGTATCTTATTGTTTTCTATCTTCTACCTCTGCATTGAGACATATTTAGACACAGCTCATGACGACAGCTTGACTTGTGATCCTCGACTGATGGATATTTGAACGTGCATGTTCACTTTGGTTTAAAGGGCCCTGTGTCTCTTGTGGGAATGTAGCAGCACAAGCTTCTGACAATGCGTTCACTCAGTGCGCGCGCCCCCACAGTGCATCCCTCTTGCTGTCACCTGACATGACTTCCTCAGCTGTGTGTAACGACAGCAGCAATCTGCTCGGTGACACTGATGAGCTGGCTGGAAGAGGGTGATACAGTAATACTGTGGCACCACTCACTGCTCACTCCCTATGATGTAGGGCACGTCTCTACTGTTATTCCCCATTTCTCATCTTTCTGACAGGTGCTTCGTAATAAGATCAAATGATAAGAAATGCTAATTCTTGTCGAAATCACAGGCAATTTCAGGTGATGTTGAGTGTAAATGGAAAGGCTGTATACAGTATATATATTTATATATATGATTTGAAAGTAAAACCTTGACAGAGTTTCTTTCAGACTTTCGAAACTCCTCAAGGACATCAGGCTGTTCAAACCGGTGAGATGTTAAGGTGACTCAGAAATATCGATGTTTGATAGAAAAACACGGAGATACTTGTTCTAACTAAAAAAGTGTGTATTGTAGACTGTTTGATACTGCATAATAAGCAAGTCACAAAAAAGGCAAACACAGGATTTCAAACTGAAATGTGAAAAATTCATGAACTCCATATTTTTGTTCTTTAGTCCATAAACTGGCCTGTTCAGAAAAAAAATGAATACAAGATTTCCAGCCTTTTAAAAAATAAAAACAGCCGGTCCCACAATGTCCTTGTTTTTCATGGTATTATCCTCTCAAGCTCCACAGTGCACAAAATTGGAAATGAACACAATCCTTAATACCATCATGATCCTATTAAGAGATTTATCTCATAAGGCGTGCACAATAAGACAAAGCATGAGGGCCCTTCATTAACCCCAGAGTTCTTCTGGTAAAATAAACACTAACCTTAAGTCTGGCTTGAAGTTGTTTGACCTCAGCCTCCAGGACCTGAGGGACCGGATTAGCCGGGGAGGGCATGGTCCTGCCCCGGCAGCAGCACTCTGCGTTAACTGGGGCTGCTGGTGCTGTTTGCTGGGGTAATGTGATCCGTCTCCACTGCTCCAGCTCCATCTCCAGAACCTTCTTCTGCTGCTCCTTACCCGCCAGGTCAGAGGTCAGCTTCTACAGACAGACAGACAGACAGACAGACAGACAGACAGACAGACAGACAGACAGACAGACAGACAGACAGACAGACAGACAGACAGACAGAATTAGTGGTATAGGCTTCTGCAAATGATATTCCAACTAAAAACTAAAGTTGTATTTATTCTATTGTTATAGAATGACAACTTACAGTAAAAAGTCATAGGAGACGTGCAAACTGACAGACACATTGACGTTCATTTAAAGACGTTTTCTCTGCCTGTATGTAATTACTGTTATAAGAAAAAATAATTTGACTTAAAGATTTCTTAATTTTAAATTCACATTACATGTTGTAAATACTGTATGTTACAGGACACACTGTGTTTTAATATGTAGTCTGGGAAAGAAATCGTTTTTTTTATGCTAATTAGGAGACAGAGGATGCCGTAGCTTGCTCAATAGGGGCTAATTCTCACTGTGATTGGCATGCATAATAAAGCCGTCCTGCAGAATCAGAGAGCACTGTGGGACGGAGGGAGTTTAGCATTTGTTGAGAGGTTGGGTTTCGTGGTGATGAACAATAATGGTCCTAGCTGATCATGTACAATGTACACAGTGTATCAGTTATTATAAACACAAGTATCTAAGGTGAACAATTGTAACCACATGTCAGCGTTGAAGCAAAAACAATCTGTATTTCCCTGCTTATTAAGAAAATGTGGGGCAGAAACACATCTCTGTAGGTTTGATTCAATACTACCACAATTAGCTGACCTGGTATCATTTCAAACATCAACAATTCTTAATGGCACAAATGGGAGACTTGATACATGAAGATGTATGCTGCACACATGGGGCAAATACTGGAACACACACAGACACACACCCAAGTGAAACTGCAGATTCCCAGGGGTTTGCTCTCTGCTCTGCATACATGGAGGTTATTGATATCTGGTTGCTGCCTGACACCTTTTAATAGAATCCGTCTTGTTTTAGGTTTCCTCTGCTCTGTTGAAGACGCACATGCCGTATCCCCGGGGGAGGTGGGATGGAGAGAGATGTAGGCGTGATAAGAGAGGAGCGGAGAAAGCGAAGCGGGGCTATGGCTGCAGTGGAGCAGGAATTAAGAGTGGCATTGATGACACTTCCTGTAAGACAGGCTTTGATTTCAAAGGCCATTTTCAGCCATGGTGAGAGACGACACTAACATGGAGTGATATTCTGGTGTCCATTAGGCTGGAAGAAAGGACACCGCTCTCTCTCCCATCTGAGGAGCGCTCTCACTGCTCTGTTCCTAGTGATACTCTATCAGTATCGGGGTTAATAAGGAAACAGACGCTGATAAAATAAACACAAATATGCATTAGGGCAATTTGATTATGGGAAAAATCTTTAGCATGATTATGTTGTTCAAATTTGAGATCATATTAAACACGACTACTAATTGATATCGGAAAAATCATGAATTAGAAATAAACATTTTTAAAGTAAAAGCTATTGATGAACTCAGAGAGCAAAATTAGGAGGTTAGGACTATGACGTTTGTGCTCTTTTTTATTTTTTACAAATGAAACAAAAGATGACACAGACATGATACAGTACTATACAAATGAATGCAATAACAAAACGAAATATTTAATTAATAATTGAATAATCTGTAGTATCATTGTCTGATATCAATAAACAATAAAGCTTTAGCTAATTACACGTCCGAAAAGGGGTTAATCCGACCCCTTCTCCCTTTTTTTTTCTTTTTTTTTCTTTTTTTACATCTTAATATATGTTAACATACACTTAAGCAATAGCTCACGACAGGCCGTGGTATATGCTCATTATATCACAGCTAAGGGGCGTGGTTCGGCCCGACGCGATTTATGTAAAAATGTTTTATTTACATTTTACGTTTTTTTTATTTGACACCTTTTTTTTACAGTTTTATGTTTACCTTAAAATTACAAAGAAATATCTTATAATAGTAATACACTTTTATATTACGAGTTACATATTTAATTACAGATAATACTTTTTATTTTACGTACATCTGCATGTATTTTCTGAAAGTGCAAAAATACTGTAAATATTATATAGTAAATTTACTGTAAAAAAAAGGAAATAAACATTATTTGTTGTTGTCAAAATACTTAAAATAATGTTTTGAGTTGTTAATTTATAGTTAATATCTGTCATTTTACAAGTTATTTAAAAAAACATGATAATTACTTTAAAAATGTACAGTTATTTCCTGTAAAATTACAATCTTTTTTTACAGTGTAGGCGCTTGAGAGTGAGTAGAACACAGGGACAGTGGAGAGAGGTCCATTACTGAGGTGAATGATGAAAGGGAAATTACAGTTTAGAGTAAATTATGATGTGGACTCTCATCCCAGAACGTTAAGGAAATCAGTGGGGATATTGAACAGGAAACATTTCAGTCAAGGGGCATCATATGACCGATATAGACAGAAGAGCAACATTTATTTGAACATTTAAGTCAATGATATATTCCTAGGTGAACTTAACATCTGTATGGAGTCAGATCAGTCTCAATATTAATAAATGCTCACAGAAGGATTCACAAATGTATTTTGCGATTTATATATAAATGACTCTCCACAACAATATCTCTCAATGCACTCACAAATATTTATTGTTGTATATAAATGTCCAAAAAATGGGCATTTAAACTGCTACTCCCATTGGGGATTTTCCGAAAATCGGATGTCGAATTTTAAGCTTTTGAGCTACTTATCTCATCACACAGTGCTCTAAGGTGAGCAATTTGCATATATAGCAATACCAGACATTGTCCTGAACATTTTGATATTTAACACATGGGGTGCCATGTTAGAAGAAATACATTTAAAAGGTGATTTAAGAAAACATCTGAAAATTGAGAAAATACCCTTAGACTCCAGAGGGTTAAAGAGTTATAGAGGGAATGGAATGTGGTTGGTATTCTGGGAACACNTAACAGCCGGATCTCATAGCTGCACAGCAGGGCCAATATCAGGCAGGGGCTGAGGCCCCGGCCCCACGAGGACGCATACGGTAAAACGCATACGGCATACGCAAACGCAAAAAAGTCTTCCGTTCACACGCATTCGATTCATTAACGTGTCCGTTCACATGAGACCGCTGGAAATACTGGAAACGTTGAGTACATATGCCAGGCCTGTAAGTGGTGCTGCTGCCACCACAAAATACACCAAAAGCAGTGAAGAAGACCCCGGAGCATGGTTGCCATGGTTGTCCTTCTGTTTATTCTCCGCGGTGGACGGCGTGTTCTCCTGCTGTAAATCTCTCCGGTAGTCCACCAGCAGATGAAAAACACCGACCTCTCCGCCTCTTCCAAGGGACGAGGGGACCATGCGGCAGAGTTTCCGTTAACATTTTTTTTCCGCCGGTGAACCTGTCCGGTGCAGAGGTCTTCTTTGTTATTTATTGAGCTTTAAAACAAATTGATAACGACTCTATATAATAATATATGAATAATAAACGGAGCCTCTCTTTTCCTCCCCCTCTTCTGACAGCCCAGCAGCTGATCTCTGAGCAGGAGCAGGGGAGAGGGAGACGTGGGGAGAAGGAGGCGGGGCTATTTCATCGTTATCAGAAAATGATCGTATAGGGCGTACACACGGAGCCGTTTGCCCCCCCAGAGCGTTCCGTTTGCAGACCTATCCACCTTGGGACCCGTTATCGTTTGCTGGGTCCGTTTCTGCGGTTACGTGTCGGCCTGTGAAAGAACGGGCTATACGCGAGAGAAAAGTAGCGGATACAACCCGTTTGGTCCTCGTGTAAACGGCACCTTAGTACGGCAAAGTACTTGATGTGAAAGCGGCTATTGTTTTGTTTTTTAAATCACTCCTAAACTAGGACTTTTTGATAGACATTTTTAGGCTAAGTTAGGATCTTTCTGAGAGTATTTTCAGAGAGATTGTCTATACAACCCCTGGACTTCTCTTGTTGTAACAGTAAAGTGTTACAGTTTCTACAGGACTGTGATCCAGAGTAAAAATAAATACAGTATTTGCTTTGTGCATGTTTTCCCTTCATTTTATCATCATTTTAATCTGAAAGGGATTTGTACAACATGATCCTGTTGGTGTTCCTAAATGTCTACTTTGAATTTCTGAATGTCAGTGCTCTGCTTGTGTGTATGATGTTGCTAATCGACAAATAGCAACACTACAGCTGCGAGCCTCCAACCTCTCATTGAGTTTTCTCCTGTGAGAACCACCACTTGCTTTGTAAACTGCCCCTGGTCCACATGTGCGAAATTAACAGAGAAGTTAAGATGTTTACCGCAATTCAACAATGTACACGTATGATTACCCTTTTTACTGTAATGCACTTGATTGTTTTCATATGTTTGTGTTTTATATGGCTTCTCACTTGCTTGCTTAGCAGTATTGTGTTCCTGTCCAAAGCTTCTTTGTGTTGTGTACAGCGAGTTCTCCTCTCTCTAGCTTTCCCTCATCTGACCATCTATTCCAAGGTCAGCTTTTCAGCAGGCTTACAAGGGAATGATACAGAAGATTATTGCCTCGATCAATAAGCTCAAAATGAAGCAAAGGGGAGTTTACTTTATTGACTTTCTCGTGTGCAGTGGCAGTTTTAACATTTAATTGTCTCTCTGTATTTAGAGCAAACTCCCATTTAGTGCCGGACCACTGTGCCATCCCAGGCCTTCCGCGTCTCGCTTGCCATTCACTCGGGCACCATTTGAAACAGCCCCTCATATCTTAATTATTAACTGTGTTATGCTGCCCTGTTGCACTGAGAGACATTCAGAAAGCAAATAAATAAATGAATGGCTGTATTTTCAGTAGCTCCCTGTCTTTCTCTCTCTGATGCATGATTCTCTGTCTGTGGAGATTTTAGCAAAACTCGGGGTACGTTTGGTATCAAAGCTGTGTTCCCTCAGCCTTCAATCGACAGGGCAACAAACCCTCAGGTCCACATTCCTACAAGGGAGCGTGAGGCGAAACCGAATAGAATCTGAGTGTGTCAAACTCAATATTCCTCCATAATGTACTAGGCCTCTCTGGCGCATGCTTGATCAATTTCATTTATTCATCTACCAGGCAGAGCTATCCCTCTTGTTTTTCTATATCCATTTCATCATCCTGTTCTTTTTTTATTCCTTCTTCTTCTACTCCTCCTCCTCCAGGCTCTGGCCAGTGAAATACTTTTAGACGTTCAAGAGGTCAAGCAGCAGTTGATGAAGAGGAGGAGGTCGAGGCAGGCCAGCGCTGTGGCAGCAAAGGGCGGCCTCTCAGCCAAGTCGATGATCAAAGCCAAATCCATCGCTGCCTCCATCCTCAATATGTCCGAAAACGATCTCGCAGACATAATGGACACTGACCAGGTAAGGCCAAGGGACAGTGGGTTAAAATCCCACATAAACGCTAACTTTAGGATCTATATCAAGTTAAACTTATGCCCAGAGCACTAAACACACCTATAATAGATTTTCAGTGCTGTGAAATTTCAAAACATCCTTAAGTTTACAGGGGGTTTGCTTAGTGATTGCTCCAGAGGACTAAGAGAGACGTTATATCATCACAATCAATATGTAGCTTTGGGTTTCTGCTTTCTCATTTGAGACTAAATTAGGTGCTAAAGCAACACTGGACTATCCTCTTGGAAAAACCGCTTACGGTCGGTGTACAGCGGAGAAGGCAGATCCCTTCTGTTATTAGATTGTTTTGCCTGTATCAGACAAGTGTTTAGCCTTCCTTTAAATCTCTACTTCTATCTGACATTCTCTTAATGATAAGAAGGTAGATGCGAGGTTGAACACCGAGTACAGGTGGACCAAACACCATGGCCTGGCACTAATAAGTTTGGAAGTTGCAGCAGAGAAGGATGGCACTTCATTTTTAAAGCCTTCTCTAAAAGTTCGACACCTGCAGCACCTGTCAACTTAATATAAAATGTAATATGGTCGAGTTGAGTAAGTACAACTCTTTCCTTCTGGCTGAGAGCAGTCATTGAACTGAAAACCTTTGCTATTGACTGTCGGCCGCTTGCTAAAGTCTGAGTTTCACAATCTTTTCCAACTTGGTGGGTCCTCTATCTATCATTTATCATGCCCAGCTGTGTCATCAATTAGCAATCCCATGTTACAATCAACCTCCCATCCCCAGGGACCTCCTCCCATCTATCTCTAGATGAGA